GGTTTGAAGTGAGTCTCTTGTAGGCAGCATATAGATGGGTCTTGTTTTTTATCCATTCTGTGACTCTGTGTCTTTTGATTGGTGCATTCAGACCATTTACATTTAGGGTAATTATCGATAGGTATGTACTTATTGCCATTGCAGGCTTTAGATTCATGGTTATCAAAGGTTCAAGGGCAATTGCCTTCTATTGAACAGTCTAATTTAACTCATGCAATTATGAACACAACCTAAAGGTTCTTTTCTTTTCCTTTTTCTTCCTCCTCCATTCTTTATATATTAGGTATCATATTTTGTACTCTTTGTCTATCCCTTGATTGACTTTAGGGGTAGTTGATTTGATTTTGCATCTGCTTAGTAATTAATTTTTCTACTTTCTTTGCTGTGGTTTTATTTCCCCTGGTGACAGCTATTCAGCCTTAGGAATACTTCCATCTACAGCAGTCCCTCCAAAACCACCTCTTCATGGGAGGCAAATTCTCTCAGATTTTGTTTGTCTGAAAACTGTTTAATCCCTTCTTCAAATTTAAATGATAACTTGCCAGATAGAGTATTCTTGGTTCGAGGCCCTTCTGCTTCATTGCATTAAATATATCATGCCACTCTCTTCTGACCCGTAAGGTTTCTGTTGAGAAGTCTGATGATAGCCTGATGGGTTTTCCTTTGTATGTGATCTTTTTTCTCTCTCTAGCTGCTTTTAAAAGCCTTTCTTTATCCTTGATCTTTGTCATTTTAATTATGTCTTGGTGTTGTCTTCCTTGGGTCCCTTTTGTTGGGAGATCTGTGTACCTCCATGGCATGAGAGACTATCTCCTTCTCCAGACTGCAGAGGTTTTCAGCAATTACCTCCTCAAAGATACTTTCTCTTTTCCTTTCTCTTCTTCTGGTACTCCTATAATGCAAATATTGTTCCATTTGGATCGGTCACACAGTTCTCTCAATATTCTTTCATTCTTAGAGATCCTTTTTTCTCTCTGTGCCTCAGCTTCTTTGTATTCCTCTTCTCTAATTTCTATTCCATTTACATTCTATTCTACTACATCTAATATGCTTTTAAATCCCTCCATTGTATGTTTCATTTCAGATATGGAATTTCTTAATGATTGAATCTTGGTCCTAAATTCATCCCTGAATTCTTGTATTTTTTTCTGTACCTCCATGAGCATGTTTATGATTTTTATTTTGAACTCCCTTTCAGGAAGATTGGTGAGTTCAGTTTCATTTTGCCCTTTTTCTGGTATTTCTGAGATTTTTGTTTGAACCAGGTTCTTTTGACATTTCATATTTGTACATGGCACCCTCTACTGCCCAGAAGATCTAGTCTCTGGAGCTGCTCAGCCCCTGGAGTGATGTTGCAGGTTGCAGGGGAGTGGCGCTGGTGCCTGGGGGGAGGAAAGAGCTATTTCCTACTTCCCTGCTGCAGTGCCCATCTCCACTGTCAGAACCAGCGGGCCAGCACACAGGTGTAAGCCTCTGTGCTTTGCATCTGTAGCTGCTGTAGGCGGGGCCTCTCTCTGGCTGGTGCCGGCCAGGCCAGGAGGAAGGTGCAGCAGGCTGTGTATCACAGTGGGGGGCCTCGGAGCTGAGTAGCCAGCCAGGGGGATGGAGCACCTTAAACTCCTGAAAGTTCCTAACCTGCTGGGCAGAGCATGCCCAGACAACCTTGTCCACCTATCCCTTCTCCTGTGCAGCAACCTCCGTGTGAACCCCATTCCTTTAGCAGTCCTCTAGCTGCTAGGAAGCCTCTCAGACTGCCCTCCTTTCCTTTGTCCCAGAGCGGCCGGATGTGGATCCTTGTCCTCCACAAATGGCTGGAATCTCAATCTCTCCAAGTATTCTACCTGTCTTAGCTTTCCAACCCCACTAATCTCCAGAGCACCATGCAATATAGGTTTGTGCTCCCAAAGCAGATCTCCAGGGATGGGTATTCAACAGTCCTAGGCTTCCACCCCCTTCCTGCTCCATTTCTCTTCCTCCTGCTGGTAAGCTGGGGTGGGGGAAGGGCTTGGGTCCTGCTGGGTCAAGGCTTTGGTACGTTACCCTGTTTGGTGAGGTCTGCTCTGTTCTCCAGGTGTATGCAGTGTGGTGCAGCCTTCTTTCCTGTTGTTCTTTTAGGATTAGTTGTATTAACTATATTTTCATATTATATGTGGTTTGAGAGGAGTCCTCTTTCTCATCTCTTATGCTGCCATCTTGAAATCCCCTGATAGATAATAATTCTTTAAACTTTTCCTGTTCAATTGCTTTGTGTTTTCTGTCTCCTGATTGGACCCTAACTGACACACATATTTACCAACATTAATACTAATACTAAATAACCCTAACACTAAAACCAGATGCTATTATAAACAAAACTACAAATATGTCTCAGGAACATAAGTGCAAAGATCCTCAACAGAATATTAGGAAATCAAATCCAACAATGTATTAAAATAATTATACACCATGACTAAAATGGATTTATTCTGAATGTGCAAGGATGGTTCAACATTTGAAATGCAATTAATGCAATCCATTACATACACATCAACAAGTTAAAGAAGAAAAATCATATGATTACATCAATAAATGCAGAAAAAGCATTTGGCTAAATCTAATACCCATTCATGATAAAAACTCAGCAAACAAGGAAAAGAGGAGAACTTCCTCAACTGACAAAGAACATCTACTTAAAAAACTACAGCTAACATTATACTTAATGATCAGAAAATGGATGCTTTCTAAAATCAGGAACAAGGCAAGGATGCCCCTTTCACCATTCCTATTCAACATAATACCAGAAGTTCTAGGAAATATATTAAGACAAGGAAATGAAAGATATACAGAATGGAAAGGAAGAAATAAAACTGTCTTTGGTCACAGATGACATGATTGTCTATGTAAAAAATACCAAATAATTGACAAAAAACTTCCTGGAATTAATAAGTAATTATGTAAGGTCACAGGATTTAAGGCTAATATACAAAAGACAGTTGGTTTCTTAAATACCAGAAAATGCATACCTGGAATTTGATATTAAAACTGCATGATCATTACCAAAAAAATTAAGTATTTAGGCAAAACATAAGAAAATATGTACAATATCTCTATGAAGAAAACTATAAAACTGATTAAATAAATCAAAGAAGATCTAAAGAAATAAATACTTCATGTCCCTGGATAGGAAGACCTAATATTAAGATGTCAGTTTTCCCAAACTTGACCTACAGATTCAATGCAATTCCAACCAAACTCCCAGCAAGTTATTTTGTGGGTAGCAACAAACTGATTTTAAAGTTTGGGTGGAAAGGCAAACGATCCAAGTAACTAACACAATACTGAAGAAGAACAAAGTCAGAAGACTGATACTAACCAAATTTAAGACTTATTAACCAAATTTAAGACTTATTATCCAGCAATCAAGACAGAATAGTATTGATGAAAGAACAGACAAATTGATAAATGGAACAGAATAGAGAACCCAGGCATAGATCCACACAAATGTAGTCACCCGATCTTTGACAAAAGAGCAAAGGCAATTCAATGGACGAAAAACAGTCTTTTCAATAAACAGTGCTGTAACTGGACATCCACATGAAAAAAAAATCTAGACACACAACTTACACTTTTCACAAAAAATTAATTCATCTTAGACCTAAATGTAAAACACAAAACTATATAACTTCTAGAATGTTAGAGGAGAAATCATAGATGACTTTGGGTTTGGTGATGGTTTTTAGGTATGATGCTAAAAACACAATGAATGAAAGAAAAAATTGGTAAGTTGGACTTTACTAAAATGAAAAACTTCTGCTCAGGGAAAGGCACTGTTGCAAGAAGAGACAAGCCACAGAATGGGAGAAAAATATTTGTAAAATACATATCTGATAACATATCTCAAATATACAGAAAACTTTTAGAACTGAACAATAACAATAAACAATCCAATTAAAAAATGGACAAAGATCTGAACAGATACCCCACCAAAGAAGATATACAGTTGACAACTATTTGGAAAGACCCTCAGCATCAGATGTCATTAAATAATTCCAAAGACAACAATGAAATATCACTACATACCTCTTAGAATAGCCAAAATCCAAAAAAACTGAAAATACCAAAAGTTGGTGAGGATAAGCAGCAAGAACATTCATTGCTGGTGGGAATGAAAGATATTAAACCAATTTAGGGGACAGTTTGGCAGTTTTTTTATAAAATTAAACAATCTTACCATATAATCCAGTGATCACACTCTTAGGTATTTACACAATTGAGTTGAAAACTTATGTCCATACAAAAGCCTGCACACAAATGTCTACAGTAGCTTTATTCATAATCACCAAAAACTCAAGAAGTCCTTCATGCATCCATAAAATGGAATATTATTCAGCAATTAAAGTGATCAGTCACAAAAAGACATGGAGGAACCTGAAATGCATATTGCTAAGCAAAAAATGTCAGTCTGAAAGTGTAATACTGTATAATCCCAAGTATATGACATTTTGGCAAAGACAAAACTATAGAGATAGTAACAAAGTAGGTGGTTGATAAAGGGTCTGAAGAGAGGAGAAGAGATGAACAGGTGAAGCATGGGAGGCTTTTAATTTCTGTATGAAATTAAGAGTGAACACATGTCATGCATTTGTCAAAACCACAGAACTGTACAAGACGAAGAATGAGCCTTAATGTAAACTATGAACTATAGTTAATAAGTATCAGTATTGTTCATTACCTATAACAAATGTATCACACTAATACAAGATGTTAAAAATGGGAAGGGGTAAAGGCATGGCTGAAGTGGGTATATGGAACTCTGTATAACATTTCCTCAATTATTCTGTAAGTCTAAAACTGTACTAAAAAAAGTTTTGATTATTTTAAAAATAAATAAAAAGTAAAAGGACCAAAAGAAGTAACTTACTTTGTTTTAACTACAAAGGTTATATATATGCCTCTATATCATATGAGTGATTTCAAACAAATTAATATATATTTGTTAGTATAACATTTTTATTGTATTATGCTTTGCTACTCTTCTTGACTTGAATATAATCTTAGGTACAGAGCAACAAATTCAGTTTGTAAACAACAAAACATGTTTCATTGAAAATCATCCGCTAAACTTCCCTTTGTATACTGAAGACATTAAATGCCTTCTGAGAAACGCCATGTCAGTTATCTTTTTAAAGTTTCTAAAGTGTGTTTTCCAATGTTTTGGTCTTACTGATCTTACTGAATGGAACCATCTATGATGCTCTGGAATGTGAACAAATCATCTTATGTCCCCCAACTCCACAGGCAAGTAACAATGTTTTTTACACCTTGTCTTCATAGTATGATTTTTGTTTGAAGTTTATGGGCAAGATTTAGCTCCACAGATATGGATGGAATTGCAGGTCCCACAAGTAACATCAAAATCAGGACTAAAAGTTCCAGGACTACAAACCACTGCAGAGGAAAACACAAAGAATAGAGTGTTAAAATTTCAGTAAGGGGTATTTTATACCAGTAATATAAATCTGTCTTCAATATTACACCATTTCTATACCTATGTTATACTGAGTAAAGTTCGGCCAATTAAGTTGTGGAAGATTTTAAGTTTCAAACATTGCAATTTGATGATTTTAAAGGTTAGGAGAAAGAATCCTATTCTTCCCTTTGGTATCAGCATTCTACAGTATCTTTTGCAATGCCCGGTTATGAGTTACTATTTCTAGTTCCTGTTTCCAATTCTCTGTTTCCTAAGTAGGGCCATTGTTTTCCTTCACAGTATAGTAGCTTAAGTCAGAACACTACAGAAATGTGTTGAAATACAAAAGAATACATGGAAGAATTAATATACATGAAGATAATTATATTTAGAAATGTGCACTTTGAATTTTTACTTGCCTAATTATATTAACTAAATATAATTTTTGTAAGGGAATCACTATAAAGATTCAATTATTCTAAGTGTATTACTCGTCTATTCTTATGACTATATAACTTAAATATTTAGATATTTATATTTTGTAATTACCACAACAGCTAGCACAATTACTGTGTAGACCTTCATTTTTTCCAAAGCCTGGATGACAGCCATCCATTCATACTACTTGAAAACTGTGGTCCACAAAATGCATAGCTGGTAGGGCTCTATTAAAGTAATGGTTGAAAATATATGCTTGGCTCCGAAAAAATTCTTATATCCGACCTCTTGCCCAAGATTTAAAAATACCAGAGATGTACGATGATTAAACTGTGAACCAAATTTCTCCTCCTGTATCAGAGGCAATATAGTACAACAGTGCCATACTTTACACAACAGATGAACTCCTGAAAAGTTGTGTTAATAGTAAAATTAGTGTAGCCTTGAATTTACCAGTTATTCTCAATTCATATGTACAATGGTAAAGAAAAATTAAATTGAGGATTAAAAATACTTGTTTTGAATTACTTGCAGCATGTCTATTCCTTATATAGATAACTGGGAATTCATTATTTCTAATTCCAAAAAGCCAAGCAAAATGGAAACTCAAACTTTTCTCTAATCAGCATTACAAACTAATAATGCAAATTTTATTTTTTGAGCATAGAGTTTAATAATAATATTAACTGAGTGCTTCCCGTAAGTCAGGCATAACATTAATAGTATGGGGTCAGGAACTAGACCAGGAGAGTGATGGGATTTTTTTAGACTATGCCCTTAGCCTTTGAGGATGGCAGAGGAGAGAGCAATTATTATTACAATATACATTATGATTTCACTCTATCTGGGGGCTAACGGAGGTAACTACAAGGCTTTAAAATGAATATAAATTTGGTTTGGTTCCTCCCCTGTATTAGGTTCTCTTTTATATTTCAAACTACTTGTTTAACCTAGCATGACATGATTATGAGGCTGTTCTTCAAGTTGCTGCTTAGTTACCATGTGGGGTCAAAGCTCAGGGATCTATCCTTCTACTATAGAAAAAAAACATAGTATTAAACCGGTGGGTTATATAATATTACAGATGTACCACTCCAAGACAAAACATCTTGAAATAGCCAAGACTCTCAATCTCAGTCTAAAAAACTGAAACCAAAAACCAATATGCTTTATGCTTAAGCTTAAAAATATAATTTAAATCTACCTGTTTAATATGTTTTTATTATTGCTAGATATTCACAACATGGAGAAATAGATTTTTGAAGAAATTTTTGATTAAAAAATGAAGTATTTACAAAAGTTTTTAAATAGTTTTATTAATTACTCAAGTACTTTCCCCTTACATTGCAATTCTCACCTGGAGGATATTATGATTAGTGATATCTTCACAATCAACAGAATTATTGCATGTACCTTTCCACCCTGGTGCAAAAGGATTAACTGGAGAAGAAAACAACGATATCTTCACAAGAGGATTCTAAAAATTCCAAACATTACAAAAAAGCTTCAAATGCTGAGTTCAGTATGCATGTATACATGTGTTTAATTTATTTAATCCTAAATAAAGCAAGGTGTGCAATTTGAATAATTTATACATTATGATTTCACTCCATCTGGGGGCTAACGGAGGCAACTACAAGGCTTTAAAATGAATAGAAATAAATTTGATTTGGTTCCTCCCCTTTATTAAGTTCTCAAAACTCCAATTTAAAATTCTGTAAGAAGTTGTAAGTTACATATTAGCTGCGTAAAGGGCATACTTATAAAAATGATACTGAGTTTTAAAAGATAAGCAGCAATATATCCTAGTTGAAAGTAAATTATTAATGTGTTAATTTTTAAAAGCATCACCAAGCGCAGACCAACAATATACTTTAATGCTTAACAAATATTTAAGAACTACTATTTGTAAGATAGCTTACATTAATATGGTGATTAATTTTGTTATCTATCGTGGTTCAAGATTAAGCTATTAAACTCATAACATTAAATGCTAAAAAAAATTTTTTGCCTTGAAAGGTTATAAATAGGCCTGATGTATGAGGCCATGTTTTGGAATTTTAACAAAATGGCATTTATATGATGGTTCTACGACATGGCATGACAAATCAGAGATTAAATTATCTAGGATTTTCCTCAGCAGTCTAAAAAGCAGGTCATTATATCTTCCTATACAAGACTTTGTGGTAAAATGTACAGTCATCCGATATGAATAATCAGGTTCCTGAGAGGCTTAAAAAGAGATGAGAATAAAAACATTTGTGCCTAACATTAATTTCCTCTACCAAACAATTTTCAAATAACATGGAATATTACATCCCATCAGTCTTGCAAATCAGCATAGAAACTTATCTAATGTTTTATCAGTGTGTCCTCACAAAAATATACAAATAACATTAATGAGAAAAGGTTATTTTCATCTGATATACAATCTACCCAGTACAAAAGAAGAAATGGCTTCTGTGGACTGGTTATATAGATAAGTTACCAATATCGAGAAAAAAATAAGATTGAAGGGGAGCCTAGTCTTGTTTTGCTAAAAGTGCCATTGCTGCCAATACAGTCCAGTGAAAAGATCATTTAATTTGCTTTTACAGAATTGAACATGATTTAAAAATACCTGGCAAAATTGTGATAAAGTAGATTGTGCTTGCAAACCTTCACAGTGGGAAGTGGAAGGCCGGAAGAGGATTATTTAGGACACTATCTTGATGTTGATGTAAGAGTTTGGTCAAATATACCCCAGATACTCTGTAAGTCATGATGATTATATGTAACAGACTCATTTTCACTAAATGAAGAAACCATATGCTTAATTTTTACCCAAACTAAATGTATAAATTGAAATATGCCTATATTCTTACCAAAGATCATAAAGTCATATCTCTTGCTTTACCACTTTCTCCTTCTTGGGTTTCTTCTTTGACAGTCTTCTAAGGAAGAGTACATGAGTAACTTCCAGACAAAGGCTCCAGAAAATCTTTTACCATCAGCTTTCCTGTTTCAGTTATATGTATTCTATTATTTCCTAAACAGAAATAGTAAATTACTTGGTTATTTTAACATATAACAATTCAAACATTATTTAAGTAAACTTGGGGTCACAAATAAATACAACAATTAAAAAATTAATGGACTATTCTAACTTCAAGAATTGAACAAAAATCTTAATTTTATCATATTACACTATGGAAAACCACATGAGATAAGTACACTTTAAAGTATATTTTGGTTTTCTTTGAATCATTTCTTGGCATCTAATTTTTATTGGCTTATGGCAGTAATTCAGTAAATGAGATTACAATGCCCTGTAGTACTATACAATTTCTTCACATAGACAGAAATTTAATAATGCTTATATTCCAAAACACTCTTCTAATGTCACCAAAAATTACATACTAGATACTTCAACTCCTATTAGAGGTGCTACAAGGATACATTTCAAGTTTTATTAAAACTTTTGAACTAATATGACTCTGGGAAATAGGGTGCAAAAATTACTGCTTCTGTTTTTGCATAAGGAGAGAATAAGGCACAGACCAAGATATAACATGATTTGTCTATTACAGAGCAAGTGAAATTGCAGTTAAATTTCAATTTGTTCTTGCCAAAATTTGTTCTTGTTTTTTTTTAGACAGTGCTTTTCTAAAAGAAGTTCATGTCATTAAAAAATAAGATATTAAAATCATATAACTTACCTGTTAATGGTCTTTTATTAGGCCCAATCCATAAGTAGGTGGGGTCCACTGTTTCCTTTATAGAGCGTTTAAAATCCATACAGACAAGGATTGGACTATTGTGATGTAATTTTACATATATTTTCACTGTGACAAAATAATATATACCTACATTATATAGCAAAATTAAAAAACATACACTTCCTATCATTTTGTCCTAAAGATTCTCTGACTAGTCATTTTTGAATTTTACTATTTAAAAAACCAGCATCTCATTATAACATTGAGAATGCGGGTCCTTTTTGCTTCTCATAGTAAGTTTTTAAAACTCAAGATTTCTAGAGAGTCATTTTTTCTTTTTCCTGTGGCATTATGGTTGTTTTAAAAGACATGTATGATACACTTGGTTCATTTTAATAAACAGATTTAGAAGTCACTTGTATCATAATTTTTGAAGGGTTAAAAATTAGAAATGGATTTGAACTGCTTTCAAAACTATTTAATAGATGATTATTGTTATCCCTCAGGGAAACTTGATATTTAACTATAAATGTCCTCCGTTCGGGACAGTTATTAAGCCGTGTGGGGCATACTAGGAAGATTTTCTGCAATTACGTATTCTGTTTCGGGTCTGGTGGAAGCAGCAGTATTGTGCTTGGAACTAGTGCCGTCCCCCAAGATTTTAATTTTAAAGCGTACTGAATGCCAGGCTCTGAACATACAAAGGAGACAGCGTTCTACAAAGTGGTAGTGGCGGGGAGGAGACGGGGTTCCAAACATGAAGATTCCCAAGAGGACAAATGCTATGAATTTTGCTAGGTAACCCAAATGTTATTTCAAGTTAACCGTGTGGCTAAATTTCCTTGGAGAGTGTTGGGAAAGTTTCATCACATTGATGAAGGACATCTGAGCTGAGCCTTAAAGGATGTGCAGGCACCGTGATACAACTAAAAGGGTGAAACAATGCAATCTTCGGGAAGTGCCGAGCACTCTAGACGTGCAATAAACGTTCTCTCTCCGTCCGCGGGAAGAACCTTAGCACATCCACGGCACTCCCGGCTCTTCGGAGAGATTCTGCAGGTGAAGAGGCCGTATTACCTGGTTGTCCTGACCGGCCATAAATGAAGCCTTCCTTAGGGCGTTCGGAAAATCGCTGCCAGCCAACTGCGGAGGAAAAGACAGCACTGACTTTTTCAGTAGTGGAGGAGGCGGGGCTCAGAGAGGGGCAGGGCGGGGCGAAGCGGAGGGGGCAGGGCGAGGTAGCCGGAGAGGCCTGGCGGTTAGGCGGGAGAAGCCCTAACTCCTGAGAGGTACCAGAGCCCCGCGGAGAATAGGACCCGAGTTCGCATCACGGCTCAGGGGCTAGCGTCGCGGGGCGGGCTTCTTCCAACCTCAACTCCGGCCCAACGCCTGCCCATCTCTCCTCCACAGAGCAGGGCAACGCGCCGGGGTCAGCGCCCCTACCGTCCGTCGCCTCCACGGGAGCGGATGCACTGCCGAGCGCGTGCTGGCCTCGAGGCCTCGCGCGTGGGGGGCGGGGCGTGCGGACGCTGGGCCCGTGCGCCGTAGGCTAGCGCCCCGCCCCCTCGCGCGCACACGGCCGCTGTCGTACGGAGGCTTCGTGCCTCGTCTTGACGCCCTCTTCCCGCGCGCTCGGGGACGCTGGACTCCCAGTAGCCCAGGCCTCGTGTTTGGTGACTTCTTCAGAGGCTGAAGAGCTGGTGGAGAGGAGCACTGTGGGTCCCATGCAGAGCCATAGGGTAGGGTGAGCAGGGGATGGGTTTACATGAGGACCTGAGAGAGGCACAAATTTGTGAGAATTTCCTCTGAGGAAGCAGAGAGCCCCGCGCGGGAATCTCCTAAGCTTTTCTCTTGGACTCTGAAGCAGGGTGCGCAATCGTTTTCAAACTCTTACACCCAATTTTTACTTCATTGCATTCTTCTAGCCACAACACGAAGAACCTGAAGAACCACTAGTGTGCCATCCTAGCGTCTCCACTCTCTTCCCACTCTAGAGGAACATGAAATCTTCATTTTCAACATCACTTACCAGAGGATGTTGAGAGACCCCCACCCCCCACCCCAAGAGCAAATTCATGTAGGGTTATGAAGGAACCTCGCTTTAAGCAATGGGTCCGCTTGAAACGCAAGATCCCCTGTGGGGACAGAGGTTAAATCAAGATCACAGAGCTCCAGAAGAGACCATGCCCCAGTCTTTCATGGTTCCTGCTTGGCTACTAGGCTGGTGGCCTGAAAGGCCCTGTGTGTTCTTAGCAGTGGGACGTCCTCAGTCGTGGTTTTGAGTAGGCTGGTGGGTAGAGAGCCAAGGTTCAGACAGGGTGCAGAATGATTATTTTGGGCGAGATCAAGAGTTTTCAGTTTTATTTCCTTTGAGCCGAGTCAGTACTTGGACTATCTCAGATGGTCCAGGAGCAACCTTTGTCAGTGATTTCATTTTTAGTCATTGTTAATTTACCTACATAGCTTAAGCCATGAAATGTGATTCAGTGAGTCAGATCCACCCATGGCAGTTACTGTGTCTAGATTCATGGTTTAGTCTCAACTGTTCCCTTCTTAAGGTGACAATTTAAGCATTATCTTCAATTCCCTAGAAGGTTGTTATTCCGGTTTTAGTCAAAGTATATTATAAATCCACAGTGTGTTATTAGCTTCCCAGTTCTTTTAAGTAATTGATCCTTGTAACTCCTGTGTGACACACTTTGAATACTGTGAGAAGAGACTTAACCAAATGAGTAGTAGTTTTGTTCAAAGTACCCATCCCCTCTTTTAAAATAGGCTTTGAATTTTAGGAGTTTTAGATTTACAGAAAAATTGTGAAGATAGAGTTTTCATGCATTCCCGCCTAGTTTTTCCCACTATTGACATCTTACATTAGTATGATACATTTCTCACAATTAATGAACTAATATTGATACATTACTATTAGAGTCCATACTTTATTCAGATTTCCTTAGTTTTTATCTACTGTCTTTATTCTGCTCCAGGATCCCATCCGGTTATCCCACATTACATGTAATCATCATCTCTCCTTGGGTTCTTCTTATTTATGAGCGTTTCTCAGGCATTTCTTCTTTTTGATGACTTTGATAGTTAATGACAGGTTTGATGTCATTTGATACCTTAATTTGACACCATAATTTGATACCTTAAGTGATCGGGTATTTTACAGAATGTCTCTATTGGAATTTTTCTGAAGTTTTTCTCATTAGATTAGGGTTATAGATTTTTGGGTGGAAGACTACAGAGATGCCATTCTTACCACTTTATATCAAGGGTACTTAGTATCCATTCACATGTTTTGTCACTGTTGATGTTACCTTGGCCACCTAAATGAGGTGGTTTCTGTATTATAAAGTTATCCCCTGTCCCCTGTCATATTGTACTCTTTGGAAGGAAGTCACTATGTGAAGACCATACTTAAGGAGTGAGGATTTATGCTCTACCTTCTTAAGTAGCTACATAAATTATTTTATCCATCTGCTTTTTATCTATACCTTTAGATATCACTCTCTGGAGTCTGAAATACTCTATTCTGAACTAATTATTTACAGAGTAGTAACACGTTACATTGTTAAGTATAACGAACATTGTAACAGAAGATAATAAAAGCTTTTTATAACTTTTTAATAACCAAATAACTACTCATCCTTACACCATCCCTGCGAAATTTTACAGTTCCTCTTCTGCTACTTTTGATGCGCTATTTTTACTGTTAGAAACTCACAAACAACAAATTTCCCCTTTCAGTACTAAAATTAGACCTAGTGTTTAGAGTATTTCTCTGAAATTGGTATTATCCTGTAGAACTCCATCCCATACAAGCTACGATCTATGATGCTATGATCCTAAAGCCAATGCAAGTTATTCACTCATTTTAAAAAATCACATGTGTATGTATACATATATATGTATATCCTACACTAAGCCATATTTAAAATAAACTAAAATTTATAAAATAACAACATACATACTTTAACTCATAAGGGGGTTTCTTCTGATTATGGTTTGCTGCCTGCACAAACTCCCAACCTTAAGTCTCAAATATACAATATAATTTTCTAACAAGGGTGGAAGTGGCCTTTTTGAGGATCATTCCACATGTTGTCCAAATCAACAAACAGGGTATCTTTGTAAGGATTCACCTGAGCAATGTCCCTTAGACCTCAGTGTGAAGAGAAGTTTTGCTTTTGAAAAATTATGTGGTCACATCTCCTTCCCTTTTCCTATGGTCAAGTGTGTGCTTTACCTCTATAAAGTGGGAAGGCTGTTGGGAAAGGATTTGACCGGTAATCTCTGTGTACTGACATCTTTGAATTAATTTTGCTCTCTTATTATCCTCCCACCCACCTCTTTGCTCAACTTTCTTCACGTACTTTTCCAATACATTTATATGTATTGTAAGCTGTCTTATCATATATGGAAGAAAGGGTAGTAGTAGAAAATTAACACACACAAATAGGGTGAATTGTATTTTGTAAGTGAGGGCAACTAAACCAAGTAGTTCCCAGAAGGGAACACAAAAGTGAGAGGACTTTTTGCTCCCCAAAAATGAAAAAGTTGAGTTGATGAAAGTACCCAAACCCTTTTGTACTGTCTTAGAATTTTCTGAAACTTGGACCAATAAGTTTTATCATATGAAATCAAAAACTGAAAACATAATACTTCCAATGAAGCGAGTCCTCATTGATGGTATTTATGGCTGTCATCGCCTAAGTTCCAGCTCTTGGTCGATTTAAGACAAACCTCCTTGAACTAAAACGTGCAAGAAAGCAATCCAGATACCTCCTCCCGCCTTGTGATATTATTCTCCTATCCATTATCCTTATAAAGTAGGCATTTTGAGACAATTTACTGATGCTCCATTTTGATCCTATGGGGGTTCTCGAGTTTGACATTCAAACGGGTACTGGAGATGTAGAACCTCGGGTGCTCAACAGCCAGCGTCCTTTAAAGCCGCCGCCAGCCAGCGCCGCTGTAACCCCGCGCACCGGCCGGTCGCCAGCTCCTGCCCCTTTCAATCTGCGCCGACGCAGCGACCAGCCGGATCCCGGGGACTCCCCGCACCGGGAATCTCCCGCCAGCTGCGCGCTGCGTCCCGGCGACGGCAGGAGCACGTGGAGCGGCCGGGTAGCCAGAGCGGCAGCTCCTGCCCAGCCCAGCCCAGCCCAGCCTAGCCCAGCCCGGCGGCGAGATGGAAGGTGAGCCTCCAATCCGCTTCTTTTCTAAGGGGTCTTTGAAAAGCTCGACCGGCACACGCAGCAGAGAGAGTTCCTTCTGAATCTCGGTTTTGCTTCTGTTTATTTCTTTAGTCAAAAGTAAATATGAGGCATTTCAGAGGGCAAAGCGTATCTGTTCTCATACATCTCTCAGTTGTCCCCCACACCCCCAACTTTGGAAAGTGATAACTTCTCCGAAATCTTATTTCTTAGGGGTTGTCAGACATGTGGGGTCAACTCTTAAGTCTGGAGAGAAAGAGTACTTATGGGGCGTCCCTAAAATGGCAGCAAACCTGGGTTGGATTAACTAATCCCTTTGAATGTCTTTTTTTGTCCTTAGCCTCAGTGTCCATTGGAATTAGGCTAATCTGAGTGTCTTGTTTAGAGGAAAGGTGACTGTTTTTTTCCTGCTAAGACTAAATGCTGTCATATGGAAAAGGTAAATTTTTAAGTGGTTGACACTTGTGGTTCCCTTGGAACTCGATCTTCTAATGATCCTTCTTTACCAAAAGCAAAAATCAGACTCACATTAAGAGTTTCATTTGAATTAATGTGGGAAGACGTAAAACTCCTCACCTCTCAAAAATTTTTCAGGATATACTTCCTTGGGCTAACTAAAAAAATTTTCAATAGTCTTCAAAAATGTTCATAAAACCTTGAAAATGGCAGATGCATTTCAAGTTGGGAAAGATGGTGATATTTAGAAAATAAGAATTTGTAAGAAATGTATTCATTCTACTATTAAATGAGATATTGACACCTAGTTAAAATATGAATTTGATAAATATTACGAATAGCATGGATATTTTCTCTATAGTAACGAAAGAATCTCTTATTGCCAATGAACTTTAATCTTTGACAACTCCAGGTCTAGAGTATATGAAATTATTAAAATTTTATTAAATACTTTGGAACACAAGATAAATATGGTAAAGTATTTTTTCTCACAGTATAATTGATTGCAGTCTTGTGGTCCTAAATCCTTAATTTGTACATGGGTATACTTACAATTTTTTTAACTTTCTTGGCCCATATAAGACTTTTTTTTCCAAGTAGAATGCCAAATGATAAATCAGTGAACAGTATGTTTTTAATATATAGGAACTTTTAAA